TGTTCTAACTACGTTATGGACATGGTTTTGAAAATCCCACACGCTGCAAGTCGGGAACCCCTTCATTAAGATAAGTAGTTACCTTATCATCAACAATTTATTAAGTCAAATATGTATTTCGCATTTAGGACCGGGTATTCAATTCTTGTTCTTAAATATTTATTTATTAAAATGTCAAGAAATACCCCAGTTTGTATTACTATTTATTTAGTTTTATGTAGTAAAGATATTAAATGAAATCACACAGAATTAAAGAATATTTATGTTAATTACATAGCCATACAACTATATTTGTTAATATTCTTTGATTTAATTTTCAAATATTGGTTTAAAATTACTGCAAATATTATAGTTCCTTAGATAAGAATAAAGGTTTCATTTAATTTGGAAAAAGTTTCATTCTATTTGTAAAAGGTTTCATTTCAATTGGAAAAGGTTTCATTCTATTTGTAAAAGGTTTCATTTCAATTGGAAAAGGTTTCATTTAATTTGGAAAAGGGTTCATTTAATTTGGAAAAGGTTTCATTTAATTTGGAAAAGGTTTCATTTAATTTGGAAAAGGGTTCATTTTATTTGTAAAAGGTTTCATTTAATGTGGAAATGCTATATGAGGCGTGGATTTTTTAAATAATTTTTCCAAGGTCCCTATGAGGCGTGGATTTTTTAAATAATTTTTTCCAGGGTCATATATGAGGCGTGGATTTTTTAAATAATTTTTTTAAAGGCTCTATATAACTCGTGAATTTTTTAAATAATTTTTTCCAGAGTCATATATGAGGCGTGGATTTTTTAAATAATTTTTTTAAAGGCTCTATATGAGGCGTGGATTTTTTAAAAAAGGCTCTATATGAGGCGTGGATTTTTTAAAAAAGGCTCTATATGAGGCGTGGATTTTTTAAATAATTTTTTTAAAGGCATTACAAGAGGAGTGGATTTTTTAAATAATTTTTTTAAAGGCATTACAATAGGCGTTGATTTTTTAAATAATTTTTTTAAAGGCTCTATATAAGGCGTGGATTTTTTAAATAATTTTTTCTAGGCTTTATATAAGGCGTGGATGCTTATACGCTTCACCACACTGTGATACAGGGTATTATATCTTTGTGCATATGTTTGTAACAGGCAAAAGGAAACGAAATAGACACATGGTTCCTTTTGAGAATATGCATAGAATCACTTTCCGTCCGTCCGTCTGTCTGTCCATGTTAAATTGTAAACAAAGTACAGGTCGCATTTATGATCCGAATTGGATAAAAATTGGCATATGTTACTTATTTGGCCCAAGGACGAACCCTATTGAAAATTCGGTTCAGATTTAGATATAGCTCCCATATATAAATTTTCGTCCGATTTAACGTAAATGGTGTAACAAAGTCCCTATATATCTTCCGATGTGCACGAAATTTGGCATAACGTACTGAATTGAGCCTAGAATGATGTCTGCCAAGTTTTGAAATTTGGCACAGCGTACTGAATTGAGCCTAGAATGATGTTTGCCAAGTTTCGGGAAAATCGATTCAGATTTAGATATAGCTCCCATATTTCGTCCGATTTAAGGTAAATGGTGCACCAAAATCCCTGAAAATCTATCGATTTGCACGAAGTTTGGCACAGCGTAATGAATTAGGTCTAGACTGATGTGTGTCAAGTTTCCTAAAAATCGGTTCTGATTTAAATATAACTCCCATATATATTTTCGTCCGATTTAGTGTAAATGCTGTACCGAAATCCTTAAATATCTTTCGATTTGCCTGAAATTTGGCACAGCGTAATGAATTGAGCCTAGAATGATGTCTGCCAAGTTTCAAGAAAATCAGTCCAGATTTATATATAGCTCCCATGTATGGTTTCGTCCGATTTAACGTAAATGGTTCACTAAAGTCCCTATATATCTTTCAATTTGCACGAAATTTGGTACAGCGTACTGAATTTGTGCTACAATGATGTGTGTTAAATTTCCTGAAAGTCGGTCCAGATTTATATATAGTTCACATATATATTTTCGACCGATTTAATGTAAATGATGTACCAAATCCTTAGATATCTTTCGATTTGCAAGAATTTTGGCACAGCGTACTCACTTAGGTTTAGAACGATGTGTGTTAAGTTTCCTGAAAATCGGTCCAGATTTAGATATAGCTCCCTTACATATTTTCGTCCGATTTAATGTAAATAGTGTACCAAAGTCTCTATATTACTTCCGATTTGCACGAATTTTGGCACAAGGTACTGAATTAGGTCTAGAATTATGTCTGCCAAATGGTAATCGATCCGGATTTAGATATAGCTTCCATATATATTTTCGTCCGATTTCGTGTAAATGGTGCACCGAACTCCCTATATATCTTTCGATTTGCACGAATTTTGGCACAGAGTACTGAATTAGGTCTAGAATGATGTGTGCTAAGTTTCGTGAAAATCGGCCCAGATATAGATGTAGCTCCCATATATATTTTACTACGATGTAATGTAAACAGTGTACCAAAGTCCCTATATATCTATCGATTTGCACGAAATTTGGCATAACGTACTGAAATGAGCTTGGAATGATGTCTGACAAGTTTCTAGAAAATTAGTCCAGATTAAGATATAGCTCCCATGTATAGTTTGGTCCGATTTCATGTAAATGGTGTGCCAAAGTCCCTATATATCTTTCGATTTGCACGAACGTTGGCATAACATACTGAACTGATCCTAAAATGATGTCTGCCAAGTTTCGTGAAAATCGGTCCAGATTTAGATATAGCCCCCATATATAGTTTCTTCCGATTTCATGTAAATGGTGCACCTAAGTCCCTATATATCTTGCGATTTGCTGAAATTTGGTATACCGTACTGACTTAGGTCTAGAACGATGTGTGTTAAGTTTCCTTAAAACCGGTCCACATTTAGATGTAGCTCCCATATATAGTTTCGTCCGATTTCATGTAAATTGTGCACCAAAGTCCCTATATATGTTTCGATTTACACGAAATTTGGCATGACATACTGAATTGAACTTAGAAAGATGTCTGCCAAGTTTCGAGAAAATCAGTTCAGATTTAGATATAGCTCCCATATATAGTTTCGTCCGATTTTGGGTAAATGGTGTACCAAAGTCCCCATATATCTTTCAATTTGCACGAAATTTGGCATACCGTAATGGATTAGGTCTAGAACGATGTCTGCCAAGTTTCGAGAAAATCGGTCCAGATATAGATATAGCTCCCATATATAGTTTCGTCTGATTTAATGTAAATGGTGCACCAAAGTCCCTACATTTCATCGATTTGAACGAAATTTGGCATAGCGTACTGAATTGAGCCCGGAACGCTGTCTGCCAAGTTTCGTGAAAATCGGTTCAGATTTCGATATAGCTCCCATATATAGTTTCGTCCAATTTCATGTAAATGGTGCACCAAAGTCCCTATATATCTTTCGATTTGCAGGAATTTTGGCACAGGGTACTGCATTAGGTCTAAAATGATGAGGTCTAAAATGATGATATATTTTCGTCCGATTTTAGGTAAATGGTGCACCAAAGTCCCTATATATCTTCCGATTTGCACGAAATTTGGCAGACATCGTTCCAGGCTCAATTCAGTACGCTGTACCAAATTTCGTTCAAATCGAAAGATATATAGGTACTTTGGTACACCATTTACATAACGTACTGAATTATGTCTGGAATGATGTGTGGTAAGTTTCGTGAAAATCGGTTCATATTTAGATAGGAGCTATATCTATATATATTTGTTCTTCCGATTTTATGTAAATTGTGCACTAAAGACCCAAAGTTTGTCCGATTGTCACACAATCTTGTTCAATGAACTGTAGTTAATATAAGTTAATCTCCGGCAAGTATCTTTAAAATCGGTTCAGATTTTGATATAGCTTCTACACATATATTTTTGTCCGATTTTACACAACATTTACACAGTTTTTGCATAACGTACTGAAGTTAGCATAACCTGGAAGTTGGATGTAAATGCTTCACCAAGGTGGGTCCGATTGGCACAAAATTTTGCACAACGTACTGATTTTACTATAACATAACGTGTGGCAAATTTTTATTGAAATCGATTTAGATTTAGGTATAGCTGTAATATATAGCTTTGTCCGATTTTAAGTAAGATATGCACCAAAGACCCTAAGTTAGGCCGTTTGCTACAACATTTTGTACAATGTACTGAAATTAATATAGCCTTCCGTGCGCTAAGATTTATAGGAATCGATTCAGATTTAGATATAGCTCCCATATATAGTTTCGTCCGATTTTAAGTAAATTCACCAAACACCCAAAATTAGGCCGATTGACACAAATTTTGCACTGAAGTTAATATAACCTAGGGTGTGGAAAGTTTTGAAATCTGATCAAATTTGGATGGAGCTCCTATATATTTTCCCCCTATATGAAGGGTATCATATTATCGGCCCGTCCGACTTTACTACTTTCCCTACTGGTTTTTAATATATTTTTTGGAGGCTCCATACAAGGTCTGGATTATTTAAATAATTTTTTCGGGCCTCTATACAAGGCCTGGAAATAAATTTTTCCTCTTAATTTTAATACGCCCATTTCAATTACATTTCCCTTCGTTAATATCTTAAATGGGTCAATGATTTCCTCTATATATAGCTTTTAATGAGGTTATATGTATATACTTTTTGCTGCTGTGCCCGATATTAATTCCATTTTCCATGAATCACTTGAAGATATTTATTATCTTCACCTCAGTGCCTTATTTTAATGGTATTTCCATTTCATTTGTTTGCTTCATGGGTTCTGCATTCGTATTTTCAGCGAATACTCTTTACACAACGTTACACACACACACAGATACACAGATCTGCTTAATTTATTAATCCGTTGAAGAAAGAATTCATAAGCTCCTTATAACCTTAACCTATGAATTTCCATATATTGATTTATATTTTTCGTCGGCATTTTCTTCTTCTTCTTCTTCCATTCTCTTTTAATTTTTCATTTGCTCTTGTTTATTTTCCATTTTAATTGACAGATTAAAGGTCGACAACAATGGTGGTGCCTGGTGTCCCAAACACATGGTCTCACGCGGCCTCAAGGAATATCTACAAATTGATTTGCTGCAGGTACATGTGTTAACAGCCATTCGGACGCAAGGTCGTTTTGGCAAGGGCCAGGGTCAGGAGTACACCGAAGCCTATGTGGTGGAATATTGGCGTCCCGGTATGGAGGCGTGGCGCCGCTGGAAGACTTTCCAGGGAAAAGAGGTAAGTTTTGGAAATAGTATACTTTTAGATATTAATTTTGGAACGTAGGGCTCCATCATATTCGACCTATTTTAAAAGCAATAAATTTCACTTTCGCCTTTAATTCTCTCCTCTCCCCTTGCTACTTCTTTTACAGATATTGCCCGGAAATACAAACACTTATAGTGAAGTGGAAAATGTGCTGCAACCCATTATCTTTGCCTCGAAAGTTCGCATCTATCCCTATAGCCAATACGACCGGACAGTGTGTCTGCGTGCTGAAGTTGTGGGCTGTCCATGGGAAGGTAAGTTACACTGAAAGGTACTTGAAATGAAAATATAGGGAACATACCAAAAAGTGGACCCACACCGACAATTCTACAAACCGATTTATGTAAACCATTATGTACGCCAAATATAAATTTCATCCATTTATACTGGCGATTTTTTCCATAAAATCTTAAATGGGGATTATCGGTCCACTCCTTCTGGTCAGAAATTAATTTTTTAATAACATGTGAAAGGACATCCGATTTGAACCAAACTTTGCACAACCCATTATCTTTACGAAGTCTGGGTTAAGTGGTTTTCCTGTGGAAGAGTGGAGGTATTCCTCTCTATATTAGAGAACTTTAAGTCAGTTCGGTTTTACCGAGGGTAGAAGTACTGTGGACGCGTGGCGGCATGTGCAATATAGCCTGAGCGGGTCAAATTCCAAATTTTTATACCCTTCACCACACTGTGGTACAGGGTATTATGTCTTTGTGCATATGTTTGTAACAGGCAAAAGGAAACGAGATAGACACATGGTTCCTTTTGAGAATATGCATAGAATCACTTTCTGAGTCGATTTACGCATGTCCGTCTGTCCGTCCGTCCGTCTGTCCGTCTGTCCGTCTGTCCGTCCATGTATTTTTGTGAACAAAGTACAGGTCGCATTTATGATCCGATTTGGATGAAATTTGGTATATGTCACTTATTTGGCCCAAGGACGAACCCTATTGAAATTGGGAAAAATCGGTTCAGATTTAGATATAGCTCCCATATATATATTCGTCCGATTTATTGTAAAAAGTCCCTATATATCTTCCGAATTGCACGAAATTTGGCACATCGTAATGAATTAGGCCTAGAATAATGTGTGCTGAGTTTCATGAAAATCGGTTCAGATTTAGATATAGCTCCCATATATAGTTTCGTCCGATTTTATGTAAATGGTGCACCAAAGTCCCTATATATCTTTCGATTTGCACGAAATTTAGCACAGCGTAATGAATTAGGCCTATAATGATGTGTGCTGAGTTTCATGAAAATCGGTTCAGATTTAGATATAGCTCCCATATATAGGTTCACCCGATTCAATGTAAATGGTCCACCAAAGTCCTATATATGTTTCGATTTGTACGAAATTTGGCACAACGTACTGAATTAGGTCTTGAAAGATGTGTGTTAAGTTTCCTGAAAATCGGTCCAGATTTACATATAGTTCCCATATATATTTTCCTCCGATTTAATGAAAATGGTGTACCAAAGTCCCCATATATCTTTCGATTTGCACGAAATTTGGCATAGCATAATGAATTAGGTCGAGAATGATGTGTGTTAAGTTTCCTGAAAATCGGTCCAGATTTAGATATAGCTCCCATATATATTTTCGTCCGATTTAACCCTTTCAGAGTCAATTTTTTTATACCCTTCACCACACTGTGGTACAGGGTATTATGTCTTTGTGCATATGTTTGTAACAGGCAAAACTAATCGAGATAGACCCATGGTTCCTTTTGAGAATATGCATAGAATCACTTTCTGAGTCGATTTATGCATGTCCGTCTGTCCGTCCGTCCGTCCGTCTGTCCGTCCATGTATTTTTGTGAACAAAGTGCAGGTCGCATTTATATTCCGATTTGAATGAAATTTGGCACATGTCTCTTATTTGGTCCAAGGACGAACCCTATTGAAATTGGAGGAAATCGGTTCAGATTTAGATATAGCTCCCATATATAGTTTCGTCCGATTTTATGTAAATGGTGCACCAAACTCCCAATATTGGTCCGATTGAGACAAAATTTGGAACCGAGTACTGGCATAGGTCCGGAATGATGTATGCCAAGTTTTGCTGAAATCGGTTCAGATTTAGATATAGCTCGCATATATAGTTTCGTACGATTCTATGTAAATGGTGCACCAAACTCCCAATATTGGTCCGATTGAGCAAAATTTTTCACAGCGTACTGAATTAGACCTAAATTTATATGTGCGAAGTTTTGTTGAAATCGGGTCAGATTTAGATATAGCTGCCGAATGTATTTTCGTCCGATTTTATCTAAATGGTGCACCAAACTCAGAAGGAATGTCAGACTGAAGCAAAATTTTGCAAATAGTACTGGAATAGGTCTGGATTGATGTATGCCAAGTTTTGTTGAAATCGGTTAAGATTTAAATATAGCTCCCATATATAGTTTCGTCCGATTTCATGTAAATGGTGCACCAGCCTCCCAATATTTGTCCGATTGGAACAAAATTTTGAACAGCGTACTGAATGGTTCAGTTTAATGTCAGGGAAATTTGGATGAAATTGGTTTAGATTTAGATATAGCTCCCATATATTTGTCCGCTTGTGACAAAATTTTACACAGCGTACTGAACTAAGTCCATTTTGATGTCTATGAAGTTTTATTTAAATCGGTTCAGATTTAGATATAGCTATAGTTTCGATTTCTCTCCGATTTTTATACCTTTCACCACACTGTGGTACAGGATATTATGTAAAAGGCAAAAGGCAGAAAATCATTTTCTGAGTTGATTTATGCATGTCTGTCGTACAGGTCGTACAGATGCGGTTGGGTTAAAATTCGGCACATGTCACTTATATGGCGCAAGGACAAACTTCACTTAAATTGTTGGAAATTTTATTTATTTTCGGCCGATTTCATCTAAAAGGTGTACTAAATACACAACTTTTAGCCGGATTATGACAAAACAATGAACAGCATACATAATTCAGGGTAGAATAACTTATATTAAGTTATGTTGAAATCGATTCAGCTCCCATATATATTTTCGGTCGATTTCATGGGAATGGCTTACAATATAGAAATATTTTGACAAACGTTTTCACAGCGTACCGAGTTTAGTGTGGTAAAAGATGTATTAAGTTTTGTTGATATCGGTTCAGGTTTAGATATAGTTCCCATATATAGTTTTGACTGATTCCATCTAAATTGTTCCCAAAAGTGTCCCCTTAAAGATAATCGACCGACTTCATGCAAGTGAGAAAAACTTTTGCACATTATACGAATTTAGTCTAATTTAGTAAAATTACGGGTGGTAAATTTCTTCTTTCGTAAAAATTGCCCAAGTGAGGTGAATGGCTGTAATTATACCCATGTGAAATCGGTTTAGATTTACTTACAGGTCCCATATTTTTGTCCAATTTTATGTAAATGGCGTATGGTAAGTTTGATTTAAACATGTTCGTTATATTTTACGATTTAAATTAGAAATGCATAACAAAATTATTGTCTGCAGAAGTATTTCAGACCAGACCTCTATAAAATATTTACAACACAGATGACGGTGAATTCTTACCTGTGTGTTGTTTGCTATTTTGCTAAAAACAATAACATATTGGTGATAATTTATAACAGGTATATTATAAGCTGCGGTTTAAAAGCAATAATAGATTAGTCATAATCCAAAGCAGGTATATTATATCAACATGTAACGGATTAGTTATCGTGGTGTACAACAGGTAACAGGTAGGTTATGTGGATTATCACAATAGTGATAATCCATATAACCTACCTGTTACGGATTATAATTAATCTCTTATTGTTTGTACACAACGGTATAAAAGGGTATTATTGACACAAATACCTGGAATTATGTTGAATCAACACAGGTTTTTATTATTTC